TGTGGGATTCTGGGATTTGTAGTTTTTGTGAGACGTTTCTCTTTCTCTTGTCAGAGAGAGCTCTGGTGCCACAACAAACTACAGTTCCCAGGATAACCTAGCAAGCATTGAATCAGGGCAGTTAAAGCGGGCTCAGACTGGATTATTTCTGCGGTGTTTTTTGGACCTGACTTTTGTCACCACTTTAAGTGCCATGGCTCCATGCTATAGAATTATGGGATTTGTAGTTTTGTGAGACCTTTAAGCCTTCCCTGTCAGAGAGAGCAAACTACACTTCCCAGGATTCCATAAGGCATGGAGTCCTGGCAGTTAAAAGTGGTGTCAAACCTGATTATTTCTGCAGTGAGGATGCAGCCTGTATAAAAGAAGATCCAGCTCAGCCAAATGAGAGGCTGCTTGTGTACAAAACTGCATCTTTAAAAATTAAAAACACCCATAGATATTTTTAAAAACTCTTGTAGAGGGTGGTGTTTAAAGAAAACACTTTGCCACCACGTATAGCAATGAAGAACCAGTGTGGCCTAGTAATTTGAGCGACTCTGGAGAGCAGGGTTCAAAACCTCACTTGAGCATTAAAAAAACCACCGGGTGACCTTGGACAAGTAGCACTCTCTCAGCCTCAGAGGAAGGCAAAGGCAAAACCCTCCTCTGAACAAAGCATGCCAGGAAAACCCCATGATGAGTCCCCCTCAGGGTGCAGCTACACTGCAGAAATATAATGCAGTTTGATACCACTTTCAGGACTGCAGCTCCTCCCTATGGCATCATGGGATTTGTAGTGCTACAAGGTCTAGACCCTTCTCTGCCAAAGAATGCTGGCTCCTCACCAAACCACAAATCCCAGTATTTTGTAGGATGGAGTCATAGTAGTTAAAAGTGGTGTCAAACTGTGTTATTTCTACAGCAGGGGTAGGCAACCTGTCCCCTTTAAGGGCCGAGGGACTACAGCTCCCAGAATCCCAGGAGCTATTGGCCAACATGGCTGAGGCTTCTGGGAGCTGAAGTCCCTCAGCCTTTAAAGGGGAAAGGTTGCAATCTACAGTGTCACCATAAATCAGAAAAAAACTTGAAGTCATGCAAAAACATCCATGGCTTTTTGCGAGTTTTTCAGGCTGTGAGGCTGTGTTCTAGAAGAAGGTATTCCTGACATT